CCACATAGTGTGGCAGACCTCTCCTGGCACGCCTGCTGCTCCCCTCAGCAATGTACTTTGTCAATCTGCCTGTTCTGCTCCCTGCTCTGTCTCTGATGAACCCTCTCACCACCCCTGCATCTCTGGCTTGTACCCCAGTTCTGTATGCATAAATAAATAAAATCTAAAAAATAAATGTGTATTTGAAAAACATGATCACCTCATAACAAAATGCTCTATTACAGATGAAGATTTTATAAAACAAAAGCAGCTCAAAGTTTTTAAATGCTGTCTCATCATCAGGAAACTTTAAAAAAATCTTACTAACCACAGATATAATTTGAAAATAAAGTTTACAAATTATGAATCATAGGTATGATAGCAAACAAAACTGACTGCACATAAATGCATAGAATTGCAGAAGAAATGTTCATTGTATTTATGTCATGGTACAAGAGAATGGGATGAAATATGAAAATGTGTTTTAAAAATGAATATATATTATTCATGTTGATAATTAAAAAATGAATACTTTAAAATTTAAATACATACTGTGTAATTGAATTTTGAACACTCTTTTCATTTAAAGTCATTCCAGGAGGTGGGTCATTTTGCAGAGCCAACAGTTCTTTCTGCAGTCGTTTCTAGAAAAGAAAATCAACAATAATTTGCATTTTTCAACAACAAAATATCTTCAGATGGTACAATATGAAATTCTACACTAAATCTCTCTAAATGCTCATTTCTTCTTTTATAAGCCCCTTACATCTTTCATATCTCTTTAATTTCTAATTTTCAAATTTTAATTACTTGCCCTATAATTCACAACCTGTTATCAAAATATTTCTAAATATATTTGTCAACACTGATGCTAAGGGTGCCCAAGTCAGAGCACACCAATATCCTTCAAATTGATCTCAGGATGCCCCATCTGATGTGCAAAATACTTTATGCCAAGAGCAGCTAAATTCCTACAAACTGAGGTGTTCATACCGAAGTCCTTTTCCTTCCATGATTGAAGAGATCTTCATGTTCTTGGAGAAGCAATCACCGCTTCCCTTTTTATGACCTAGAAGAATGTCATTTGGGCGCTTTTCCTCTAGTTGTAGGTTTATCAGAGCAATATGTCCTCTCTATCCAGTAGTCTCATCTTTATCAGAGTAAGGATTAAATAATCCCTTCTTGTCTGTCATTAGTCTCCCTTCTTCCTTTAAAGTACCAGATTCCTAAACACAGGATAAATATACCCAGCTCCATTATTCTTCAGAATTTACAACCATGGACATTGTCCAGAGTGTACAGATTAAGTGCTATACGGGATACATTAGAAAGTATAATACCTGCTTTCAGCAGTATTTAATATATGCCACTTTGAATAAACAATGAACCTTAATGTACCTTAATCTTTTTATAATTCAGTATCTACATTAGATTGCTATTAATAGGATAGGATGAGATGGGTCAGCAGATAAAACAGTATTTTGAAAAGTGTAAAGTTCCAACTTATATGTTAAAATAAGGTAGGAAATAAAAAATAACTATCCTAAAACCATGAATTTACCTTACCCTAACCACTTTCCAGAAAGCAAATGAAAATATTTACCAGCTTCAGTTGTTTTGGGGAAATATTTTTTTTAAATAACAAACCAGCATTATAAAATTTGACCTAAAGGTTCTCCAAAATTAATTCATGAAGTCTCTTTCTAAGCAAAAATGCTAACTATGCAAAGAATGCAAACTGCCAACATGCTTTTTTTGTAGGCAATAACTAAAAAAGAAAAATAGAAGTCACACCTCCCTATATCAATCTGTGGCCCTTAAATTAAATCCCAAAGGAAGATTTTGCTGGCATCCCTCTCTGGACTTTCTTGAAGTCTTATCAAGTCACCCAAGGACTTGTTTTCATAATTATCAATTTGGTTTCTAATAACTTCACTCTTTTCCATTCCCTTTTGTCAACTGGGTCTCTTCCAGTTTAAAAACAAATTATCATTTATTAATAATCCACCCATTCTTTCTTTTCCTTTCACTATCCAATTCTGAATTCAGTCAACACCCACTGCTACTACTTACCCTAATAAATTCACTTAAACTTTAATCCTGTCAAATTTTTCATGGTTCAATGCCACTTGCTTATCAAATCCATTGGGGGTGTGCACCAGAGACATACTAATTATCTTTCATGCAAAAAGCTTTCCCTTTTTAATTATGTTACATCACACTTGGTTCTCTTCCTATTTCTGTTACACATTTTCAGATTTGCTTGTTGGTCCCTCTTCTTTGTTGATATCCCCAAAGCAAGATTGATTTCCATTACTGGGTTTGGGAATGCACAAAAATTCTTCCGTGTAAATTACTGACAATAGTTTTCCCAGTCCCAAAAAATAACCTAAGAAATCATCTCAAATAGGGATTATCTACACTGAGATAGCAGTGGAAGCATATATTCCAATGCATTTCTAAGCATTATTTACAAAAAAAGACTATCATCAGTGAGAATGAAACCTTTATAGATTCTAAATTACTTTGACGAGCCCAAATAGCTATTTAATGGTAAGACAGTTTAGGCCACTTTATGTGTATCTTTCTACTATACATTTTAATGACTTTTTAAACAAAGTCATTAAGATTTTAATTAAAAAAAAACACCTGTTTTTTTGGTGACTAACCCAAAACTTAGTCTACTTAAAATATAAACTTAAAGAGAACATAAAACAGATTTTATGTTTCATTCTAACAAGAAAGTAAGAAATGTTCAAAGTATAAACTGACTTATAAAAATTAATTTGACATGGGCCTTCCCTGGTGGCGCAGCGGGTTAAAGCACAGCACTAAGAAGCCTAAGCCACTTCTGCATGAGTTCGATCCCCGCCTGCTCCGGAGGTGACCACATGGCGTGGCAGACCTCTCCTGATCCGCCCGCTGCTCCCTTCAGCAGTGTACTTCGTCCATCTGCCTGTTCTGCTCCCCACTCTGTCTCTGGTGAATCCTCTCACCCTCCACATCTCTGGCCTGTACTCTAGTTCTGTATGAATAAATAAATAAATCTTTAAAAAAAATTAATTTGACATCCCATACTCCCTGTCTAAGAAATGAATACCTTTCAAATTTTTCAGTTACAAAAATTCTGAGCTGCTGAACTTTTAAAAATCTAGTAACTTAACTTCTGCCATTTATGAGGATCTAAAATAAGACAAAAATATTAAGTGTATTTTAAGCAGAGTTACTTTCAGTCAGGAGCCAATTTCAGAAAAGCTGCTTAAAAAAAAAAAAGCTACAGAAGCAGTACCTGTTATTATTTTTGCTATTTAGGATTATGGGTAATCCTTTCAATCATCAGTAATTTTCTCTGCTTTTTCTGGTATTTTATCACTGTCATCACAAACTTCTGAAAATCAAAGGTTTCAAAGATTGTGCCAGATTTCTTTATCCTTGTAGGAAGTTTTTCATAGGGTGTGGGGGTTTTGTTTGTTTTTCTTTTCTTTTCCTTTTTGGTGGTATAATTCTAAAAGGACCGATTTCTCCCTTACAGACTGAATAATCCAAAGTGAACTGATGGTGCAGGGAATAAAGTCTCAGCACTATCAAGTTATCACCAGCCACCAAGGTATGAGTTCAGTTCTCAATTAGGGAGCTGGCCCATATGGTACAGCAGACCTCTTTCCTGTCTCTCCCACTGTTCCTCTCAGCAGTGTATTTCAGTAGATCTGCTGGTTCTGCTCCCCTATCTTTGGTGAATCCTCTCACCAACTTCTGCACTTCTGGCCTACACCCCAGTTCTTGTATGCATAAATAAATAAATCTTAAAAAAAAAAAATGCTTACCAGCAGCCCAATTTGCATTTCACAAACACTGAGATGTTTTGTCCTTTCCAGACCACCTCATCTCTCTCTCACAAGTACACACATGTGGATCTACACTCAAATCACACCCAGACACACCCTAAGAATAAAACATTTGGCACAAGAATACAATTTCAGGAATGAATGCTATCATAGGTCATATCACATTTGGGTTTAGGTAAAAAGTAATCACATAATCTTAGTATCGATGAAGCAAGAACTGAGATTTATTTGCTGTCAAGGAAAATATTATTAACTGGAAGATCAAGAAAAAACATCTATTATCAGAAATACATAAGATGTTCATCGAAGCATAAATCTCCAAAGCTAAAGAATTACCAAGCAAGTATCAATCTGGCTTAAAGAAAGATATAATTAACATAAAATGTATTCTGACCTAAAAATACTACAGACAGGGCCTCCCTGTGGTGCAGGGATTAAGTCTCAGCACTATGAAGCTATCAGCAGCCACTGAAGCATGAGTTTAATCCCTGATCAGGAAGCCAGTGAGCTAACCCACCTGTCTCATCCTCCGCTCCATTCAGCAGTGTATTTCAGTAGGTCTGCCTGTTCTGCTCCCCACTCTGTCTCTGGTGAATCTCCTTACATCCCCAAACCTCTGGCCTATACACCAGCTCTATTATGCATAAATAAATACATTTTTAAAAAATAGAACAAACTGTTCTCCTATTCAAATTCTTTAGTTTCTCTGGGCCAGGACAGAGTTGAACCAATAGATTAGCATCAAAGAAATCAGCGATAGAGCAAGAAAGCAATGTTTTCTAATCATTACTGACCCACTTTGAAAAAGGCATTTACATGAGTTTCTGTTCTACATTTCATTCAGAAAACATCTTAGTTCTTACCATAGTAGTGCAGTGCCCTCAGTGAGCTAAAAATCCAATAAAGACAAAGAACCTTTTTCAGTAGCTGAAAAACATATGAAAGAGGTAACATATTCTGTGAGTGGACAGAAAATAAGAAAAAGTGGATAGCTATGAGAAAGCTAAGTTTAGTGGATTCAGGATGTCAGGTACAATGTTATAAAGAACTAGAGGATTTGGAGTAAAATCTGTATTTGGAATGACAGTACAGAGTGGAAGGGCTAACTAAGTAACTTAAATAAGCTTTTCACAAAAATATTATTATTCCTAGGAAAAGACAAGATGAAGGAACAAACTTATTAGAAACCAAAGTAGTTTAACAGAAATGACTGAGTTGCTCAGTGACAGAATCTATACATACACAATAATGTTTATGTCTACTTTAACCTAAGGTCAGAGGAGACAGACAGGAGATCCAGAATAATAAACAACCTGATGGTCAGGAATTTAAATGGACTAATACAAAGTTCAGCATTGCTCTTAGAACGAGCAGTGTAAGAGCTAGCAACAACAATGGTCCCCATAAAGTACTAAAACTCTGAAAACAATATTACCATTCCTAGGGAGATTCATATTTTAACAGAGGGTCCCTAAAATTGTTTCCAACACCCCCCAAAAAACTCTTGGACTGTACTTATTCATATTCCCCTCCAAAGATACAAAATTTGGAAGACGTGTCTAGATACACTTTCTTAGTCTCAATTTGACTCTTAAAAGTTTTTTCTATAGTTATCAATCGACTCTGCAATATCTAGTCTCCTAATTCAAGGAGATACAGTACAGCATTCTTTAAAAAACAATTTACAGAATTTGCACACCCAAATTCCACTGTAGTGAAGATGAGACATTTCAATGTAGGTTGCACATTAGAATTACTGAGGAACTGAGAAAGTTCCTAAACCCAGGATACATACCAGA